CGTTATTGGTCCATCTATTTCCGTGTTGATCATTTCCAATTTCACCACGTGTCCCTTTAAGGTTTCTGAATCAAATTGAATAATTTCTTGAATAAATTTTTATTCAATTCAAACGGACCATTCGAATAAGAAATTGTATTACGAATAGAAATCCTAATTTTTTGTAAACATTTCGCGTGATCCATAATACCATTTCCATTTCGTGGTAATAATAAGAATTTTAATTTCTTTCAAAAAAATAGAAACATATATGCATTATGTGCTAATATTTACATTGATTGCTTTTAGAGGCGAAAAATATGAAGTTTTTTTGTGTCGAGTTCATCGTAACTTGATCTACGTGATGATATAAGTTTTGTGATTTTTTGTTATATGGGCCTTTGGATGATTAGGGAGAATGAGTGAGAGTAGATGATGACCAATACTTTTTGTCAGGGAGTAGTTTAATAAAGTTCTAAACATATTAAAGACGTAATACTTACAAGCATATAAACTGCAAAATGATACAGTTCTTATAATTTTATTGTAAAGTTTTCATGAAAAATCAACTTTCTTCTGTGCAGATAGATAATACATAATTTTATTGATCATATTAATAATATCTTTAAAAAAAACAAAAAACATTAGTTTGTTTTGTATTTTTATATTTTTGTTTTTAAATTGACTTTTTAACAGACTCCGAGAGATATTAAGAAGAAAAAAATGCATAAAAAGTCAATTTTTTTAGCTAGACAAAACTTTTTTTCTTTGTATAGTATACATAAATATAAAATATATATATAATTATTACTTCACTTAATTATTATATCATTAAATTATTATTATTATTAACTAATTAAATATATTATGCTCAAGAAAAATCCAACAAAAAATAAAAATTCATCAAAGCGTGCTCGTAGTAATAGTACTGGTAATACTGGTTCTAATGCTGGTGCTGGTGCTGGTGCTAGTTCAGGTAGTATTAGTAGTATCAGTACTTTTACATTTGTGATGCCATTAAATGAATTCATTTCAACAGAAAACAATGATGGCCACAACGGCCACAACGGTAACAACGGCAACAACAACACTTCATTTCCAATCACCATTCATTCATATTCATCATCATCGCCATGAAGGAATTAACCAACCCCCACAAAATTTTACTTTTTCAACATTGCTAATTATTTGTCACGTGAATTTTTCAAGTTTTAAACATAACGCCCAGCTTTGAGTAAAGTGTCTGCATTATACATCATCTTGCATCATTGATGGAGTTCTAACGGAGAGTCTGCTGCTTATACCCGAGATACCTCATGATTATTGCATACTGTCTATTTAGGTTTGTACTTGGATATAAGTAGTTAATAGTTTTTTTGTGTAAAATTAAAAATTAAATATGGGAAAAACCAAGAAATGGAAGTATGGCCAATTAAATTTTCATTCTCCACCAACCAAATTATGAATCCCCGAAATCACTTTATCTGGTTTTGTTTCAGCATGTCCCATATTTATTATTTATACAATATGATTATTATTATTAATAGAAATACAATATTTATATTTTAAAAAAAAAAATTTAAAATTTATAATACAAAATTATGATAAATATATAATATATTATATTAAAACTAAATAAATATAAATACACCAATAAGCATATTATGAATGCATGAATGAATATATATGATCAAAAACATGGAAAAATGTTTTTTATTCGGATTTCCCTGAAGAGATGGAAAATTTTAGTAATTCTTGAATTTTCATAAAATTACTAATACATATTTCGACCATTGATTCTTCAAGTTCGTTTATATGGAGTTTCAGTAGACCTTCAGATTTTTCTGCTTTTATTCGTGCCAATTCTGACGACTCAAGATTTGAGGCCAGTGATGTAATCTTTTCTCTATATGATGCCACTGAATCTTCCCATCCACTATATTTTTGAGTATCTGTTTCAAGTTTCATCTGATATTCTTGTAACTGTGACATAAGTTTTCGTCGGTTCATCGAACCTTTTTGTTTCTCGGTCCTCTCATCTTCCAATTTCTCTTTCAATTCATCAAGCTCAACCTGAAGTGCTTTATTAGCTCGTTCAAGCCTAATAACTTCTTTTTGTGTCTCTTCAGCCTCTTTCTATTGAATTTAATAATCTTTTGTTTATTGTTTATCTCATTCTGTATTTAAATTTATACATTTAATCATCTTTACTGTCTTTTTTT